CCTTGAGTGCCATTCCTCAGATGCTGATCATCTTGTTATATGAGATAGAATCTCTTGCCTGGCCTGGAACTTACCAATTAGGCTAAGCTAGGATAGCCAGCCAGTAAGCCCTAGAGATTTGCTGGTGTTCATTTCACTGGTACGCAGATTGCAGGCATATGCCAGGGTGCCTGGTTTTTTTTTTTTTTTTTTTTTTTTTTTTTTGTTTTTTTTTTTTGTTTTTTTTAATAAGAGTTGTGAGGTACAAATTTAGGTCTTCATGCTTGCAATTTTGCCAATTGAGCTATCTCCAATAGCCCAAGTCTTCTTCTTATTATAGATAGTATGAAGTCTTTGGTAAATTCACCTCCTTCAGGAATAGTTTTTTTCTGCCTTTTCCCCGTATAGGATCATGTTAAAATTTATATATCTCACTTTTTGTTGAGAAGTAGACATTTAAAACTACACATTCAGCACCACAACCAAGGTTAGTTATTGATTTTACTGTTTGTTTACTGGTGCTACTATAAGAATCAAAGACTGGGCAGATTAAACCACAGAAATTTGGTTGCCTTAGTTCTTGAGGTCACAAGTTCAAAATAGTGTCTGTTAGCCCTGTTAGTTTCTTCTAGATACTGACCAGAGGCTTTCTGGGTTCTAGAACAGCTATCTTCATGTTTATGCTTTTGCTTGAAGGTATGTTTTTTTCTGAATTTCTTTTGTTTATAAGGAATGAGTCCTGGGGATAGGGCTGAGTCCTCAAGTAGAGCCCACTCACCCCATGTATTTACATTCTGAGGTACTAAGGGGTAAAACTTCAACTTGTAAAATTTGGAGCAGACACAGTTTATAGTTCACCTAATAATAACTTTCCCAGATAATATTGCAAAGTATTATCTGTATTCTTGAGTATTATCTATCTGTATTCTTTGTAACATGTCTACTAAGTCAGTTCATTTAGATTAGCTGGTTATTGGATAGAGATTTCCCTGTACTAGGTCTCTCAGCCTTTGCCTTTGGTAGTAGTTGGAAGTTTTTATCATACAGATCCAGTTCACATTTTAGGATTCTTAGATTGTCCCACTGTGGTAATTATTTGGTTTTAGTTCAGGCATGTGTGTTGACTATGTCTCGCTACTTTGCTGAATTCATGTAATAATTAGTTCTCTACTTTAGAATTTCTTTGGGATGTCTTTTTTCTGGTGCTTAATAAGAAATGCCCCCCAAAAGCTCAACTTAGACCTTGGTGGTGAGAGTTTGGTGAGAATTAGGAGATTCATCCTTGCTGGAGGGTAGCACATAACTGTGGGTGTGAGCTTTTTTATAGTTTAAGACCTTGTCCTACTTTTCATGAAATGTGATCTCAGTTTTCCTGTTCTTGACCACCAGGCATGCCACTTGCTACCATGTCTCCCTGTCATGATGGGCTCTTAACTATCTGGAATTGTAAGCCCCAATAAATTCTTTTAAGTCGTTTTTGGTCATTGTGTTTTAACATAGCAACAGAAAAGTAACTCATCTATGTATAGGATTGTGTTGCTTGTAGTCATTTGTCTTGGCTATTGTTGAATAGAAATGGTGATAGTAGATTTTTGTTCCTTGTCTTGGGGCAGCATTCAGTGGTTCTCATAGATTATCCTTTCTTGGGTTGAGAAAGGTCTCTCTGCCTTTGTTGAGTTTTTTGTTTTTTTTTTTCTTTTCTTTTCTTTTTTTTTTTTTTTGAGACAGGGTTTCTCTGTATAGCCCTGGCTGTCTTGGAACTCCCTTTGTAGAGCAAGCTGGCCTTAAACTCAGAGATCTGCCTGTCTCAGTCTCCCTGGAATTAAAGGCATATGTACTACCACTGCCCATCCCTGTTGAACATTTTTAAATTGAAAAGCTATTAGGTTTCTGCCAGATGCCCTTTTTTTTGTACCATGTCTATGATCTCATTTATGGTATGATATTTTTATTTAATTTGTTTGAGTAATTAATTATATTAATCTTTTAAAGCATTAATTTCTGAAGTAGAGTCCTACTTGGCATGGTTTATATTCCTTTCCATGTACTGCTGGTTCCCATTTATGGTGTGTGTGTGTGTGTGTGTGTGGTATCTATTGTCTGTGAGCACATGTCGTTAAAGTCAGGACAATTTTGTTCTTTCTACCTTTATGTGGGTCCTAGGGATTGAATTCAGACTGTTAGATTGTTAGGCTTGCATAGCAAGTGCTTTATCCATTAAGCCATCTTGTCTGCCTTTTGCTTTTGCTTTTTTTTTTTTTTTTTTTTTTTTTTTTTTTTTTTTGAGAGAGAGAGAGAAACTCACTATGTTATACTAGCTAGCCTGGAATCTGCTATAATGACCAGGCTGGCCTCCACCAGCCTCTGAATGCTAGGATTAAAGAGTATTCCACCAAGCATATTGTGTTATTTGTTTGTTTCAGGGTCTTAATACATAGCCAAGTCTGGCATGGGTTTTCCTACCTTATCTTCTTGAATGCTGGCCATATAGGCACACACCACCATGCATACTAGCTGATCATTTCCCATCTGTGTTTTTGAGGGTTCCTCTTACGTAGGTTTTGTTTTATTTGCTTTTGTGCTTTCTTCTTGTGTTTTATAGTATGGTACTGGTAGCATCATAAACTAAGCTGTGAAGTATCATCCTTGAATTTGTGTAGAATTGATATTATTTCCTCCTTAAATGTGGAGTGGTCATTCATTACCAGTGAAGTTTCCTTAGTGGGATGATTGATTTGGCTGTCTTGTCTGATTTTAAGATGCTGTTCTTCAGTATCTATATTGTATATTTTCATGAGCTGTCTATGAACATTGAGCACTTGAGCCTCCCAGGAATATATCAGCGATTATCTGTAGGTCATTTTGCCATTTACTTATACTGCAGAGACACTCCACAGAGATGCTTGCTCTGTGGACTTTATAATCAGAGTTTTGTGCTAGACACAGACATCTTTGTGTTTCTGAGTGTGTGTTCTTCAGTGGGTATGCTGGCCAGGTTATTTCAGGGAGGATTTTGAGTTTGGAAATAAGCTCTGTCTGCATGCTGAGCCCTCATGTCCTACTGGGTAGAGCAGGATCATATAGGCTGATGTTGCTAATCAGTTGGCTAATTTACTGGTCCTTGTAGTTAGTTCGAGGGCCTAATACCTGGGAGGGTGATTGGCTTCCCTATGTTTGAGGGCAGAGGAATCTTTTGATAGCTGTTTGAAGACAATATCCAAACCATGATAATGGAACTCATGCTTACCAGTCTTGGCTGGGTTCTCCATGTACTAATTTCTTCTACACTTGTCACTGGAGCAGTGCAAACACAGACAGGAGCCATTCATGTGTTATTCTAGAGAGGATTTGACTTAGTTTTTTCATGTGACCCAAGGCTTGGGCTCTGTGGCTCTGTAGCTGGCTGACTAACTAGCAGGCTGGTAAGAGACTTTTGCTACCCGTAGAGATCCTCTGGCTGACAGACTCTATCGGTTCATGTTTGTTTCAAACTCTTTGTTCCTATTTGCTTGTCAGCTGAGAAATTAATCTTTGCTCAGGGGATCTACTGAAGGGCTGGTCTCCATTATTTCAGAATGTGGCCTTACTTTGGAGACTAGTTTGCTACAGGTATAATTTATTGATTTATGGTTGAATAGTTGTGACTGGTTTTTCAGAGAGTAAAACCAAGCCAAAGGAGATGGACCACTAGAAGCTGGGTCTTCCCAGGTAGTCTCTGCAGAGGGAGGAAGTATCTGACTACCCTGAGTTTTTACTTCTTGCCTTTAGAATTGTGAGAGGACACAATTTTTATGTTTTTTTGTTGTTGGTGGTGTTTTTTTTTTTTTTTTTTTTTTTTTTTCCTGTTTCAAGACAGGGTTTTACTCTGTAATTTTGGAGCCTGTCCTGTAACTTGCTCTGTAGGCCAGGCTGGCTTCAAACTCATAGAGATCTGTCTGCCTCTGCCTCCTGAGTTCTGGGATCAAAGGTGTATGCTACCACTGACCAGATAGCACACAGTATTATTGCCTAAAATCACTCAGTTTGTTGGTAGAGATGTATGTTGCTTGGATGATTTACTTCTGTAAATTCTATAAAGGGTACCTACACAAACTGGGATGACTTTAATGTTGCTAGGTGGTTATCCTAGAGGACTACCCTTGTGTCCACCATCAACAGGTGGGTTTATTAGTGCATGACTGTGCTGTTTCTGCAGTCTGTCACAGAGATGTTCTGTGAGCTCAGCTGTCTGGCATCTTCTGTTCACTGAGTATCAGGTCAGATCAAGGCAGGGGAGGTTCTGCTAGCTACTAATTTCTGATCCTCTGTCCTTTGTCCCATGCATTGCATGGCTTCATGGCTATTCCTCCTACCCCTAGCCTACCTGAGTCTGCAAAATTTCTCTCCCTGTGTGTCTTTTGTCTCAGTCTCTCTCTCTCTAGGGTTTTTCTCTATAGCCTTGGCTGTCCTGAAAGTGACTCTACTCTGTAGATCAGGCTGACCTTGAACAAACTAAGATCCTCCTGCCTTTGCCTCTTGAAATCTGGGATTAAAGGCATGTGTCACCAGTGCCCAGCCTTAGTGACTTTTCTATTGCTCTGACAAAACACTGACCAACGCAAGTTTATTGGGTCTTACAGTTTCAGGGGGTTTTGCTAATGACCATCAAGGGGAGGCATGGTGGCAGGCAGGCAGGCATGGTGCTCAAGCAGTAGCTGAGAGCTCACATCTCTATCTGCAAGCAAGAGGCGGGCTTGGGGGTGAATCTAACTAGGAATGGTATGGGCTTTTGTTAGGGGTGACTCTAATTAGGAATGGTATGTATGGGCTTTTGAAACCTTAAAGCCCACCCCCAGTGACACACGTTCTCCCAATCCTTCTCAAACAGTTCCACCAGCTAACAGGGATGTCTAGGGGTATAGCATGCTCTAGTTAGGTGACAAGAAAGGAGGTTGAGCATATGAGGAAAGCAGACAGTGTGGCACGGCTCTTAAGAGATATGGGCCTGCTCAGGATTCATAGGCATGTGCTTTTTATTTTAGTATTTTAACCACATCAGTATTGAGGATTCACGAGTCTACGAACTGACCAGCAAGGCCGGGCTGTTGTCTCCGTATCAGATCCTCCATGAGTGCCTTAAAAGGTAGGGTAGGCAGCACCTTCCTCAAGAATTGGTTCACGGGAATTCCTCTAGAGCATCTCAAAATTTCATTTGGCTTTCGTCCCGAGGTAGAGTCATTATCTGTTTGCTTGGATATACAGGAGCCCCTTGGCTCTGGCTGATGGGTGTGTGCTGGGCAACTGAGATGAGTGTGTGGAGAATCTCCCTTAGTCAGGTTTTCTTTGGAGAGTCATTAATGGGCTTTGTCATATAGTAGCCCTCCCCAGAAGTTGCCCTGTACAGGCGTCATCCATTGATGTCTCCTCGTCATCTTTGTTTTCTCCTAAAAGAAACCATGGAATGGGTGACACATCCATCAAGTTTGAAGTGGTTCCTGGGAAAAACCAGAAGAGTGAATATGTCATGGCATGCGGCAAACACACAGTGCGCGGGTGGTGTAAGGACCTGTCTCCTCCCCTGCTTCCCTCATAGACTGGCATGTTTTCAGAGGACTGCTGGAGTATGGCCAGCAGTTTCTGACACGAGGGTGTGTGGCCTAGTCTGCTCCTACTACTCTGGCAGTCCTCCCAAGCTCTAACTTTGTGGGGGCCTACCACACCTTCATCTTTAGATTTGTGGTCATCCTGCCTGCATTCTTTCTCCTGTTACACTGTTGTTTCTGTTACCTCTAACCAGCCTGTTACTTCTAACCAGCCAGTCTCTGGTAGGATGAGGGGGCTGGCTTCCTGAGGAGCAGGCTGAGGTCCTCCTGATGGCTATCTATCCATTTGCACACCTATGTTCTGGTCTCTAGGCACCATCTTACTTTATGTTTACATCTGACATAGCTAGTTAGTTAAAGCCAACATGAGGCCAGTAGTTCCAGCTTCTCAGGAAGTAGACTGGGCAGGAAAATCAGTCATGTGAGGATGTGAGTTCAGTACTAACTTGAACAACATAGCGAGACCATGCTCCTATAAAGTAAGTAAAAAACAAAACCATAAAGTAAGACACTATGTAACCACTGTAGGAAAAATTAGTTTGTATATATATTAGGGGATGATACCTAGAAGACCCTGGGAACATTTAGACCTGGATATTCCCAGTTACCTGTGGCTGTTGCTGCACCCTACAAAGAGGTAGGCTGCTGAGAACACTGAGGGAGTGAGCAGTCCAGTGATCTTTCAGCAAGGAGAGCTCTCCTGGCTCAGAGCATCTTTCATATGGTGCCTCTACCCAGGCATCTACCCTCAGGAGCCACAAACTTTAGGAAGCCTTGCTGCTAGTAATCTATATGTTGCAGGAAAGTGGGGTGGAGTAGGTTGTTGGAGAGGAGGCTTCAGTGTCTTGGCTAATAGCTTTCCCATTTGTCCGTATCTGCATCTCCTGAAAGCTGCTTGGCAGGGTGGTACCTGGGTCCAGGTCTTAGAACTGTGAGTCATTGTGTCCAGCACAGTAGCAAAACACTGTTTACCTTCCTGTGGAATCCTCTGCATGGCTCCCTAGGTACCAGGAAAAGGTTCTCCTGTCTGGATATTTGTGACTCCTCTCCACCTTTGCTTTCTCCTGTCACAGGTAAGAATAAACGAGTTGGGAAACAATTGGCCTCTCAGAAAATCCTTCAGCTGCTGCATCCACATGTCAAGAACTGGGGATCCTTACTGCGCATGTATGGCCGTGAGAGCAGCAAAATGGTGAAGCAGGTAACCAGACTGTCAGGTTGTCCTGCAGCTGCTGTGCCTCCCTGTTTCTTGCTTTAGAGCTCATATCTAGGGGTTGGCTGTCAGGTCAGGCTTAGCACTGCTATTTGATTATGACTCTCTGCTTTGTTGTGCTAGTGATTGTGCAGACTGGGGGTGGGGACACCCAAACTATATCTTCCTCTTGAATATGCCAAGCATTTAAGTGTGAGCTGTCATTAGGAGACATGCCTAGAGCACTAGGACTGCCACACATCAGACAGTAGATGCAGGCACCACCTGGTGCTGAATTGTGTGAAAGCTTGGGAGCTGTCCTTTGGCAGTTCCCAAGACTAGTGTATCCTTGTTTAGTTGAAGATCTCAGTGGCTTACAGAAAATGAATATTGCCTGTTTTGTTTCTGTGGCTTTTACCCAGTTCTCAAAATTTAAGTCAATCTCCAAACCTAATGGGTGTAGGGAAGTACTCAGAAGTGGGTGTTGGCTATTTCTTTTTTGAAGTGCTAGGGATGGAACCCAGAACCTTGTACATGCTAGACAAATGCTCTACTACTGAGCTACATCACCAGCAGTTTTTACATTTTCTCTTAATATATGTATACAAGCTACCTGGATCATCAGGATCCATCCCATTATTTGGAGGAGTATAGGTGGTGACCCTGAAGACTGCTGTGAACCCTTGAGCCAGTAGTCTGGAGCAGTGCAGCACCCCTTCAGGTTCTATTCTGGCAAGGCAAGGGGTCCAGGAGCCCCATGGAGAATATAAACAGGGCTTCTTTTCCCGATTACTCTCTCTTCCTACTGCTGGAGATTGTATCTAGGGCTTTGTGCAAGCTAAGCAAGGGCTGTACCACTGAGCTGCATTTTCTGTAAGTTGAAATGTAGATGCAGTACTTGCTATACATAGTCTTGGGCTGAGACAAAGAGGGAACATTGCTGCAGCCATAGGCAGAGGCTTTCTTCGCCTGAAGGGTGAATGGCTCTTGCTCTTGTCTGGCATAGGAGTACTGAAATGCCAAGACGGTGAGCATCATTGACCATGCAAGGCAATAAGGGACCAAAGAGAATGGCTGGGCAGGCTGTTTGGCTGTGTTTTGTCTCAGTTGGCGTCAGCCATGTCCTTGTCACTGTCTGAGGGTTCCCAGCACAGTGAGTGCTTGACTTTCATACTCAGCCAGTAAACACAGAGGTGTGATCATGGATGAAGGGACAGAGTTTCTGGGGGAATGCCAGGGAGCCCAGGGCTGTGCTTATACCTGGTATACCTGGTATCTGTCAGTAGCCAAGGTCTCATAACAGGTGGGGGGGCTACTGGTGTGCACATCTGTGCCCCACCAGGCCCTTATCCTCCTGTTTTGGGTAGTCACAAGCACACTGCTGCTTGGCAGTTCTGAGAGCAGGCTTTGGGTCCCTAGGAGACCTCTGACAAGAGTGTGATAGAGCTACAGCAATATGCCAAGAAGAACAGGCCCAACCTTCACATCCTGAGCAAGCTGCAAGAAGAGATGAAGAGGCTGGCTGCAGAGCGGGTGATTATTTCCCTTTCTCACTTCTCCCCCAGGCTATTTGCCTCCCTACCCCCTAAACTCACCATCTATTCTGCAGTCCCCTGTACTGTTTCTGCCCATACCACAGTTATTGAGTCATCAGGATTGCTGGACCAGTTCCTTCCTTGTAGGTAGATCTTAGGAGCCCCTTTCTGAATCTTGCTTAATTCCTCCTTCTAGACGAAGTTGGATTTTAATTTCTAGCATGGATGGCATTTTCCTAAAATACCAAGTTAGAGAGCAAACAGGCCAGCCGTTTAGTGGTTAAAGGTCCCAATTTGAAGTCAGGTGTATGAGGGCAAGGATTGTGCACTGGCCTTTTAGTGGATAACACAGAGATCATAGAATGGTTAAGCCTAGGTACAACTTGTTAGTCTTGGTGGAGCTGTCCTATCCCAAGGGAGCTCTGTTACTGACATTGTTTCCTGGCCTTAGGAAATACAGCCACACACACCCTTAGGCCTTCTGAGTTGGGAGCCATTCCAGCTCTGCTAACATTGGCCAGGGTATGAACACAAACTCTGAGGACCAAGTATTTATTGCCACTTGTCTTTCTATTGCTCTCAGGTGGGAGTGGGCCTTTTCTGTTGGAGTAAGCTTACCTCTTTTTGGGAGATTGGTTAGTTGTGGAGGTTAAGGCAACAGGCCTAAGACACACAGTTCTATTTGTGGGGGAAATTCAGTGGACTTTCAGGCAAGCAAGGGTAGGATGACACTCACCCTGGTGGGGTGGATCCCAGCTTGTTGCAAATTCTTCCGTTCTGGGTGTCTCTAGATTGCCAGGGAAGCAGCAGCACATGGGAGTCTACCCTGGCATTCTGAGGAGACCCTCCTGGCCTGGCCCAACCCAGCCCGCTCCCTGTACCTTCCCTCCTAGCCAGGTATCACAAGCATTTGTGCTCGGAATTCAGGGGCTTCCACCCTTTCACCTTTGTGAACCTCTTTGCTGGATCCACCTCTAATACTAGTGACCTCTGTTCTTCCAGGAGGAGACACGGAAGAAGCCCAAGATGTCAATTGTAGCATCTGCCCAGCCTGGCGGTGAGCCTTTGTGCACAGTGGATGTATGAGGTAGGCGGCATGGGCCAACAGTGCTACCCAGAAGACCACCAGCCATACATCACTGCAGCACCAGGCCTCCAACCTAAGTTCCTTTCCTGTGGCAGTGTCTGGGCCCTGCTCTGGCACTTGGGGACAGCTGTGACCACACATGCAAAGAAGCAGTTCTTCTGGAAGCTGTTCTCAGTGTGACTTGATATATTTAAGGATCAGCTATAAGTAACTACACAAGTGGAAGCTGATAGCTGTAGATCCTGCTTGTATGTATCTGCTGCCGATTGTTTTTATGAAGGTTTTCATGAATTTTAGTACACTATATGCACTGACAAGTAGTGATACTTGGTTGGTAGATGAGATGACCAGGTTTTATAGCTTTGCCTGGCCTATGATGCCAGTTAGTCCCTTTGCCCTTACCCTCTTTGCCCATGGTTCCTTCTGGTGGAGCCAGTGAGACCTGGTCTGAAGATACAGGTATCCTGTATTACCTGCTTTGTCTGTTTCCCATTTTCCTCTGAAAAAGTTATAACTGAAAGGAGTATTTCAGGCTATTTTGGCTTAAAATAAAACAAAATTTTAGCACCAGAACTACTTTTCAGAGATTAGTCAAGATATTGAACTGTCAAGATACTGAGTGTTAATCTGATTGGCTCTTGGGTTGCAGTCTATTTTTTTTATTATTATTACTATGTCTTAATGCCCTGACAGCTGTCTTCTCGATACCTAAGCTCCCACCTTCAATGAATTCTAACAACTGTTTTTTAACAAAGATTTTTACACAATCAAGTCCATCTGTTCATCAATTTTTAAAGCTTTTATGATGTTTTAGAATTTGAAAAGAAACTTTTGCAGTGAAAGTGAAAGATAGATTTAGAATCATGCATTTCAACAGATGGACTTGCAATAAATAGAAAACAAGGCCTTCAGTGGCTGCAGCCCCTCACTGACCAAGAGCTGGCATTGCACATGACAAGTAGTTAATGGCTTCTCTGGATTTCAGGTGTGGCTGTTCTGTACTGCCAGGCCTGGTGGCAGATTTAGTTTTTTTTTTTTTTGTCCACCTATGCTCACTGTTTAGCACCTGGAGATGGGTATTAAGTATAGGCATATTGAGAGCCTGAGTCTTGATCAGTATTGGCCTACCCCAATATCTGCTCAGAGGGGCTGTACTCATGTTCTCAGGTATGTCTCATCTATACCTGAAGATACATGATGGCATATGTTGTTAGAAAGACAGGATAGCAGCTATGGGCATCCCAACACTATATCTATCCCCCCACCCCCCCCCAATCACCTGTGTGACAGCAATTAACTTCTGTGTTAATCTTGGCAAAAGAACCTTCCAAATCAAGTTGCTGGGACTGGATACTTGATTCCTTCTTTCTTGCCTTCCATTCACAGTTGTGATTGGGCTTTTGACTGACCATTGCCCTTCAGACAGATTTGCCTTTGAGAAAGCATGAACACATGTACATGGTCAAGGTGAACTCTCTATAGACCCACTGGCCCAGCCAATGTCAACAACAGGTGCTGCAACACTCCTGGTCTCCAGTGCCCTCCCTGTCTCTTAGGTGGGTGAGTCTTAAATGCACAGCCATGCTACAATGCTGGAAGCCTGTGTAGATGCTGCTGGCCATGGCTGTAGACACACCCTGATGGTCTGAACACATAAAACTGTCCAAAAGGGAATGGCTGGTTTCTTTCTTCTGGATGCTTGTGGATCTTCAACTGGCCAGATAGTCCTGGAGCCAAGTGTATTTTTAAGGATACACAGTTGACTCCATGTGAACTCAGAACAGCATAGATGTGTATTCAGCAGTTATTATGTACAGGGGCCATCCTCAGTGTTCACTCCCTTGGAATACTTGGTTGATTGGTATTTGGTCCTACAACCTCTTGTGTGGGGATACATTTAAGCAAGCCCTGGCATTCCATTAAGCACACAACAAAGCTGGGCACAGTCGTAGGTTTGTCAAATACCAAGTCTCCAATCCTTTCTGCCTTTCTGAAAGGATTGGCCAGGCTTAAGCCTGAGGACCTACTCTCTTATACCTTAGTGGATAGCAAGTAGGAATGAGTCGAAAAAACATCAGCAAGTCAACAATTGTTTATTATAGAGGACACAGGTGTTCATACTTTTTGAATCAGTACCAGCTAGGTAGGCCTCATGCCCACACTACTGTTTGCCTGCCTATTATCTTAATAGAAAGCTGTAAGGAATTCTAAGCTTTTGCTGTGTACTTGTCCAATTCCCAGAACCTAGGACGAGAGAGCACTCTCTGTTTCCAGTGGGGTGGCATCAGGGAGATTTCTTGGAGTTTGAGAGTCTTGATGCCCCAGTGTTCCTATGCCATTAGGATGTTGTTCCATCCTCTCAAACAGGATAAGCATTTCACAGTGTGGAGTTTGTGGGAACAGGTCCACGGCCACAGCCTTGACAGGATGGAATGGGATGCCTTTTACTCGGTTAGATGGGGCCCTACAGAGGCTATGGTAGGAAGGAGGTACCACTATTAGTTAGAAGTTCTATAGGTGGCAGATACATGTTGTGGTGGTGTATCCCCCACCCCCTCTCCCCCCACTTACTCCACAAAGTTGCCCATGGCTGCCCGGGGATTGCACGAAACATACAGGAGTCGCTTGATGTTCTCAGCTCTACGAATGGCCAGAATCACCTTGGAATCTGACAAGGCACAGAGGGGCTAGTCTCTCCTAGTAGTAGACAACCCAACATAGCATTTTTTTTTCCCCTTCTGGTGCTACCTCCCCAAATGGAAGCCACTCACGTAGGCCAGCCCGTGGTGGGTCTAGGACAGCTACAAGTCGCTGGGAGGACAGTCTGCTCACCAAGCCTGGCACAAGATCCTCAGCTTTGCCACAGTGGAACTCAACGTTGCTCAACTCTAGAAAAGATAATGTCATAGTTGTCATAATGGACTCAAGGCCAGGCACTGGGAGGAACTAGCAGGCTTAGAGAGCATGTAGCCCAAGCTTTTCTGCCTTTAGCCAGAGGTCTGTATAGGGCCCCATTCCTCAGAAGACCCTCAAGACAGGTAGTAGACCACTTGTTTGCTGTGTTGTGCTTGTAGAGGTTCTCACCATTGGTGAGGGCATTCACACGGGCATCCTCCACAGCTTCCTGGCACAGTTCAATCCCAACTACTCTCTTCACCTTCTGAAACAGAGAGATAGATAAGCCTCATTTCCCTGGTTGCTCAGGAAAGGAGGAAACAACACAACTGGGCTATATCTGAGATGTGATAGTGGCTAGCTTCAGCACTCAGTAGGGAGATGTCCTGGGAGGCTTACCTGGGCCAGGGCCAGGCCTATGGTGCCAGTGCCACAGCACACATCCAGCACGGTGCTGCCCCCATCCAGCTGAGCCCATTCTTGGATGACTGTATAGAGCACTTCAGCTGCAGGCGTGTTTACCTGCAGGTTAGTTAGCCATGGTGTACTCTAGTGTAGGCTAGCACCCCCTACTGCTTGGATCCCTCTCTGCATACTAGTGACCTCATTCACTTTCCTGGCCTTTAAAGACTAAATCTTTACAAAACACACCCCCAACAATGAAAAGCTTTTTTTCCCCCTGACTTCACAACTCCCCTAGGCCAACTGAGTGACTTCATATATTATGCTATAGACCTTGGAATCTCTCCCCCTCCATCTCCATAGTAGGGTTTTCCATGACACTGAGAATATCTCAAAACCTAAGGAGACTATTAAGTATCCTGCTCTGGGTTTGGCAGGAGGCAATAAGGCCACACATCATTGGGTTAGCCACAAAATAATCAGTGGCAAATTACCCCTTCCTTAGCTCCAGTTACCTAAATGTTCTCTATAAATCTCTTTGAGAGGCTAGTTACTACACACTCCTTATTTTCCCCTTCACACCACACTTGATACCACACCCAGCCTCCCTGTGTTTTGTTCATTAAGGGACATGCTACCTGGAAGAATGCATGAGGGGAGATGCGGAAGGTTAGTCCCAGCAGGTCCTCCTGGATACAGTGGTCACCAGCCATATGCTCCAGGGGCAGGCCTTCCTGGCTGGGAGTCTTTCTACATGAGAAGCAGCAGATCTGTCGGTGTCACTGGCTTACCTGAAGACCTTTCCTGTCCCCACCTAGGCTCCTCACCTCTGTCCCTCCTCCACAAAGTAGAGGCAGGTCACCCCACTGGCCTTGCCTGGTCCTTCCATGAAATGGTACACCAGGGAGGTCTTCAGCCCTGCCACCTCCTCCGAGCTCAGTTTCTGCAGCAGAGAATACAAAAAACCCATCAGACTAAGCAAAAGGCAACAAGACCTCCCCCAACAAGACCACTGCCTGAGACCTGGGGGTGGAAGTAGACAATGGCCATGGCCTGGCCTCTGCGGCTGGTGCGAACAGTCAGCTGCTTCCAGTGGCCTGTATATGTCTCAGGGTCATATGCCAAGTATGGGGTAGACCTGAGGAAGCCACAAGTGTCTCTTAGTACCTGGTGTGAGCCTGTCTATCCCAGCATCCTGCCTCTCACCCCACAACTGCCAGGGCAAAGCCCACACCCTCTGCTTCCAGATGGATTGGGGCTTCCCAGGAACCCAACCCCAAGCCAGGTCCCCACCGAATGAATTCCTGGAAGGCCTTCACCACCTGCTTAGTGGCCTGTGGAATGTGCAGAGTGTCGAAGGGGGCTGCCACAGCACATGTTCCACCCTTGTACTTGCCAAACCGGCAACCAACAGTGTTGTCTTCTCCATCTACCCCAACTCCGACCAGAAACTCACACTTATTACGATATTCAGTCTGCAGGAGAGAAGGTGGTAAACAGGCAGCCAGATCTGAACTTTGATTGCCTAGTACCAGAAGAAACACCAGAGTGAACAAAAACTCTTATAGGGTTGGGTTGGCAGGCAAAATAATGTTTTACTGCTGGCTTATCCAACACCAGGAAGAAACAAAAAACAAGAAAAGTGGTGGATAAAGTTTATAAGAAAATAGGATGATGGATCGACCCAGCGTTAAAGTATATGCCTAATATGTGAGACCACTGCATGACAAAACTAAACAAGGCCAACCTCCCCCTTCCCAAGCATACAATGGGATTTTGTAGTCAGCCTGACCTGCTGGGGTGATGGCCTGACCCCCTCCAGTGGACAACAAGCCTTATTGTGTCGTTGTCTCTGTGTGAGCAGCCAGGGTAGCAGGGCACGGTTAGTGCTCCCAATTTCCCTGTAGAATGAAGCACATCACTGTTGGAGTTACATCTGTTCTCCACTCACATGAGGCCTATCCCACTGGTAAACCATAGGGGCATTACTAACCAGCTCAGTTGACCACTTATACCAGGTGGCTCTCAGCCTTCCGAATGCTGCCACCCTCTGATATATTTCCTTGTTGTAGTGACCCTAACCATAAAATTATTTTGGGGGCTACTTTATGTCCAGTTTTACTACTGTTATGAGTTATAATGTAAATATCTTTTCCAATGGTCTTAGATGACTCCTGACTCACTCCAAGAGGTCATGACCCACAGGCTGAGAAACCCTGACTTACTCCCTGTGGGTGTCTTGAACAGAGGACAGGGATAGTGGAGCGGGCCAAGAGTAAAACCCAGCTCTGGTAGGGATGTCAGTGACACACTCACTTGGCCAGTTTCTGCAGCACCCGTTCACATTCCTGCCGCTTCTGCTCCAGCTGCTCGGAGTAGGGCACTGTCCAAAGAGGGGTCACCACGTCGGCAATCTGCGTAACTGATGGCCCACCATCACCTTCCTGCCGCCTCTTCCTAGCCATGGGGTCAGCCTTGGGTCGAGCCAGGCGCACGCTGAGTGGGCGGCCTTTCCAGAGAGCGCCATGCAACACTCTCAAGGCTTTGTCTCGTTCAGCAGCGCTGCGAAATGTTACAAAGGCACATGGTGGTTGTCCAAAGAGTTTGATTTTGTGGGATTGTAGGCCAAAACGGCCCAAAAAGCGTCGAACGTCACTGAAGCTGGCATGGCGAGGCACATTTTGCATCTCCAGTTTAAAGATCTCTGAGGTAAACAGGTCATCCCTTATGTAGCTGTAGAGCCCAGGCTGAGTTTCAGGCCCGGCAGCTGGTCCAGGCCCCTCTTTCTGTTCTTGACATTCTTGGACTACAAGGCTTTGTACTGCACTGGCATCTGGGCTGCAGCCCTCCATGTGCTCCCGAATCTGTGTGGGGGACAGACGTGCCAGGCTGAAGGCTGTAGCTAGCATAACCGCCTCGGGCTAGCTCCCTAAACCACACTGCCAGATAGATCTCCACTAGCGTACACTACACCCAGCCCTGCCCAAACTCGCTCCTTTCTACTCTTGAGACCCAGTTTTCTCCCATCCTAGCTCTGATCCAACATTAACGATTGCTACCCAACCCCACCAGGTCCACATCTCTTGCATCTCTTTCCCTTTGCTTTACTTCCGTGTCCAGCTTCTCACTCATCGCCTGGCTCGTCTGTCGCCCGGACCAGGGTGCTCACGAGGGCCACCACCTAAGTCTCTCACACACGAAGTGCTCAGAAATTAGGTGTGACGCCGCAAGCGAATACCACAGCTTCTCCTTACGCAGGAGAGGTACTCAAAACTTGGGTGCTCAGAATGGCACTGAGGGACAGCGATGCACCACCCGGTCCCCAGAAACCAAGTAGAGCCACAAGCCTTGCCTGCCTCTAATAGGCCAGTGCACAC